AACACTTTGCACTCTATTCAGTTTGGTAAAAGTTTTACTAAAACTAACTGACGTCAGTCATCTGTTCTGGTACTGTCTATTATAAACCTCACTGCAGGGGATTTACAGGGGACTGAGTTGGGGACTGAGTTAATTTAATTAATTGTGTTTAAATTTCTCTTTATAGTAAGTCCCTTTCAGTGTGAAAAATAAGGTGCCATGCACTGTGTTCTGGAAATCTTTACGCTACTTATCAACCATCACTTCATTTACGAAAGAGTTTGTAAACATTCCAGTTAGGACAAAAACCCATATTATTATAATTTTCTGTTGTCTCAGAGAACGCTTAGTGAGTGAATTTCGTCCTTGCCAGATGACTGGGGTGTTTTAGTGTGGCAAAGATAAGCAGCTCCTACCTTGATCTTTTAGGTATACGATTCAAACAACTGGTTTGTATTTGTGTGTACCTGTGTGTCACAGTGTGTGCGTGCTTGCGTGAGGACGGGCGGGCGGGCGCATGGTGAGTGTTTGTTTAAGAGTCTGTGCATCTATTTGTGTATAGGAGTGTGTGTATGTGCATGTGGGTCTGCATGTAGGTATTTCTGTGTGTTTGTATTTGTCTGTGTCTTTGTAAGAATCTGTGTGTGTGTGTGTGTGTGTGTGTGTGTGTGTGTGTCTTCATTGATATAAGAAATTGCCAATCTTTCACTAGAGGCATGTGTGCCTTATGAACATCTCTGTATAGTATGTCATTTACTATCTTTGTATGTTAAACAACTCATCTACTTATAACTAAACTCTTTCCCATCTCTTTACTTCTGGTCAGAAAAGTCTTAATGTGAAAGGCCAGCTCCACCAAGCTCCGGGGATGGAACAGAGGCCGTGCAGCCAGACAAAAGATAGACTAGACAACGGAAGAGGGCTAAGACATCCAATTTGGATTTACCAGAATGAACAACGATATTATAGCGGGGAATAGAGGTAAGTTCATAAGCGTAGAAGAACCACGAAAGATTGCTACATTAAATGTGTACACTGTGCATCCAGTGTATCTCTCTGTATGTCCACTTTGTCTCACTATATAATGTCCACTACCAGTCTCTGTATACTGTATCTCCTCCATAAATCTCTGAATGTCCATTCTATCTCTGTTCATGTATATCATGTGTATAAGCAGTTATATATATAATATATACCTCTCTGTATGTCCACTTTATCTTTCTGTAGGCACTTCATACTTCATGTATATATATATATGTTACTGTATGTCCACTATGTCTCTTTATATATATCTCTTTCAGTACGTCCTGTATGTCTTTCTCTCTATATCTCCTCTAGGTCTTTATGTGTATGCTAAGTTACCGAGTGAGTGGTTGGCGGGTGCTTCGTGTGGTTTGCTTCTTCTATCCTATCAAACACCTATCATCCTTATCTCGCCTCCTTTTTTGTGTTTGTTACTCTCTTTTAACACCTCTAATCTTCGGCTCTCATATGACCATATTGTGTTGCAAGTGCCGTAAAAATCTTACTAAAACAAATATCTCTCTCTCCATATCACCTCTCTGTCTTTCTGTGTATGCTAAGTTGCCGAGAATGACTACATAAGTGATCATCATATTATTATTTTTCCAGCTCAAATTCCCTCGAACCTCCCAGACGGGCCAAGGAGGGTACAAAGAACCAACTTCACCGAGGATCTGTCAAACTGACTGGGGGGCTGCTGATGTGGGGGGGGTGGAACTTCTATCCAGGACTTTGCCAATGCCCAGGGGTGCTCAGAGGGATGAGATAGACGTCTGCTAAAACCCCCACCCTCCCACACCAGCCAGCCCGGACCCTACCTGCAAAAGTTCTTTCCTTCCGAGGAGCAGCTTCGAAGCGGCGTGACGTCCCACACAAGCTGGCACGGTATCTCAGGTTGGCAGTCAGCGAGTGATTGGTTGGCAGTCAGCGAGTGATTGGTTGGCGGGTGCTGTGGTGTGGTTTGCTCCTTCCTCTTTCCTATTAAACATCTCATCTCATATCCTTAACTCCCCTCTTTCTGTCTGTATTGTGTTTGTTACTCTCCTCTAATCTTCGACACTTACATAACCTTATTGTGTTGCAAGTGCTGTAAAACTCGTACTTAAAAAAAAAAATGTATCAATCACTATGCAAGGCATATTACCCTTTATTGCATGATATAACAATTTTTAATTCTAAAAAATTACTAAGTGGTGAAATCATCTTATATGACCACAAGGTAGGCACCCTCTGGGCGTTAAAAAAAAATTTTGGTTTTTTTTGTTTTGTAATACAGGTATGTTGCCTGAGGGCAACACTATGCAACCTAGCACAAAAAATACCTGAAAAAGAGGAGATGGACACTTTTTTTTTTCCACGCTTCATTTAATTTGATTTTTAATCTACAATACCATAAATTGATGGAAACAGTTACTGGATGGTGTAAAGCAAAGATAAACAGCACACTCGAGGCACTGTACTTTTGGAATGCCCCTGCAGCCTGGCCTTTTGAACTGTACCGTCCCTTTTTTTCTGAAAACACCGGCCAATGATCATTAAAGATCCCTTGGTGGTCCAAAATCGATAAGAGTAGGTTTCGGCTGCCACCCGGGCAAAATTCAAAATTTCCTGCCAACTGAAAATGTTAGGTGTGTCCCGCATGCTCATATGACCTTATGCGTTGCGAGCGCCGTAAAACACTTACCAAATTTTT